TTCATGCTCAATATCTTAGCTCTAGCTCTTTGGGTTCTTTAAAAGAAGTTTGTTTAAGTTTTTACTATATGCATATAGGGAAAATCAATGACCCCCTGGGGCGGGGCCAATTTTGACACCAGGCCTTTTATTTGAACAAACTTGGTAGACACTCACTAGAAGATGTTTCATGCCAAATATCTTAGCTCTAGCTCTTTGGGTTCTTTAAAAGAAGATTTTTTAAGTTTTTACTATATGCATATAGGGGAAATCAATGACCCCCTGGGGCGGGGCTAATTTTGACCCCAGGGCTTTTATTTGAACAAACTTGGTAGACACTCACTAGAAGATGTTTCATGCCAAATATCTTAGCTCTAGCTCTTTGGGTTCTTTAAAAGAAGTTTTTTAAGTTTTTACTATATGCATATAGGGAAAATCAATGACCCCCTGGGGCGGGGCCAATTTTGACCCCAGGGCTTTTATTTGAACAAACTTGGTAGACACTCACTAGAAGATGTTTCATGCCAAATATCTAAGCTCTAGCTCTTAGGGTTGTTTAAAGATAATTAAAGATTTTTCTTTAGGTTGCTATGGCAACCAGAGTTCTGCATGGAATTAAATTCTTTGAACAATTTTTAAAGGTGACCACCAAAGGAACATTCCTGTGAAGTTTGGATGAAATTGGCTCAGTGGTTTATGAGGAGATGTGATTTAAAGCAAAAGTTTACGGACGGACGCCGGACAGACGCCGGACGAAAAGCGATCACAAAAGCTCACCCTGTCACTTTGTGACAGGTGAGCTAAAAAAGTCGAGCTAAAAATCAAAACAAAGAAATGAAAATTTAGCCTGTGTCTCCTTTTAACATGAGTTTTCTAATTTTAGCTCCTGTGACTGAAATTTTCATCCCAGATGACCCATGTTTGAACTTACCTGAGCAGTTACTTAAACAAGCATCCTTACCAAGTTTGATGATTATTGAGGCAAAAATGTGACCACTAGAGTGTTAACAAACAAAATGTGGGACATTCAATGATCCTAAAAGCTTACTCTGAGCCACCTCAAAAAAGTTGAGCTCATCACAGTTCGATCAAACTGGTGAAAAAAGGCAATCCAAAGAGAGAACATGCATGGCCTTTATAAACAAGTGGTATTTATTCAAAATGTATTTTGTTCCATGAAGGTTTGTCAAAAAGTTGTCTTTATCTACAAGGTGGTCTTAAAATCAGAGGTTGTCTCTAACAAAGGTTTGACTGTATCTTAATTCTGGAAAGCCACATGTATAGCGTTAAATCTTATTTGTTTTCATCCGGTGATAACGTCTCCTCTCAAAAAAACTCTGAAAAATGTTTCCTTTCTTTTGTCTATCCTGCCTTATTTTCTGAAGAATAATTGTAACATAAAAACTTTAATACAAGTTTATGTAGAAAGTATATGAAGAAATATGAGAGTATAAGAAAATGCTACAACATCTGCAGAGCAACACCCCAGGGAGACAAAGATTTTGGTAGTTGCTGAAAAGTGTTGTACCATGCAGAGTGGCCAGGTAAATTGTGAAGTCTTGACTTGCAAAAATGTGAGACTGTTGTAGTAAAGAGGTAGCTGCACACAGAGGTCCACTCTGTAGAGATTGCACAGTATAAATCTACTGATATTCCACAGCAATATGGCCTTACAGACGTTTTTTTTCAATTTTGGGAAGCAAGGCAGTGTCTATTCTAGGAGGGGGGATGGGGGGTATTCACTCATATTTTTAGAATGCCGCCGCAGGGGACAAATTTTACAAAGAAAAGAAGGAAAAGGATCAATTATCACTTGTTTTTTTAATCCTAGAATAAACACTGGCAAGGACGGCGGTGTGCTGACGAGCTAAAAGAGATATTATTCTTTCTATCTGTAATGTAGATTTGTAATTTTGTTTTGTATTTTTCTCTTATTATCTTGCATTTAATTGCATTAACAAAACGAAGAACAACAATACATGTAATTCTTGTATAACAATCGTTATCAAGGAGCGAAAATAACAATAGGAAATAAATAGTCAATAAATTAAGTAATTTCTATTGATTTTTCCACAAAAAGATCAAAAGGGCTATGATGGCCCTTATATCTCTCATCTGACTATGGAGGCCCAATACCATTTTATTGTTAACAAGGTTTTTCCATACTTGTGCTGTGTGACCTAGTTTTTGACCCCAGATGACCAATATAACAAGAGCTGTCAGAAGGACAGCGCGCTCGACTTTTTTAGTGCTTGCCTATAAAACAAAACTTTGACAGTTAAGGGCACACAAGACTTTAACTAGGAATTTCTAAGTACAAATCAAGAAACATTTTCACAGAGTTATCTTCTCTTGCTTACAGATAGGTCTCATGATGGCACATAAGAACTCCAACTTCCAAAGTAATATCTCAAATGGTTAAGTCAACAAGTGGACAAGAATGAAAATCTTAACTGAGTTTCTAAGTCAAAAAGGGCCATAATTCAAATAAAATCCTTAACAGAATTACCTTCTCCTGCCCATGTTTTGGGACCATGATGGTAAACAAGTATTCCAACTTTCAAATTAATATCTCAAACAGTTCAGTCAAAAAGTGGACTGGTACTAAAAACTTAACCAAGATTCTAAGTCGATAAAAGGCCTTAATTTTTAAAACAAATCCTTGACAGAGTTACCTTCTCTTGCGTACAGATGGGGGTAATGATGTGAAATAGCATTAAAAGTTTCAAAGCAATATCTCAAAGGGTTAAGGCAATAAGTGGATTTTACCCATATTCAATGTATTTTCTAAGTCAAAAAGGGGCATAATTCTGTCAAAAACCTTGACAGAGTTATGTCTCTTGTCTGTTGATGAAGGTCGTGATGGTAAACAAGTATGGTCAGTTTCAAAGCAATACCTCCAATGGTTTTGAAATAAAGTGAGGTGGTACAAAAAACTTAACCAAGCTCAATACACTTTCTAAGTCAAAAAAGGGCCATAATTCTGTCAAAAACCTTGACAGAGTTATGTACTCTTGTCTGTAGATGGAGGTTATGATGGTGAACAAGTATGGTAAGTTTCAAAGCCATACTTGTAATACTTCTGAAATAAAGTGGGGTGGTACGAAAAACTTAACCAAGGTGTGACGCCAACGCTAACGCCGACGCCGACGCCGGGGCGAGTAGGATAGCTCCCCTTTTCATAGAAAAGTCGAGCTAAAAATTGGCCTAGAAATCACCAAAACAATCTGTCAGGATAGTTGGATCAAAACAATAGCCAATAGATAGTTAACAAGGCTTATACATACTTGGCTGTGTGACCTAGTTTTTGACCCAAGGTCTTTCAATCATTTAAAGAAACAGAACAATAGTCTTTTAACAGCCCTCATCAATAAATTACATGTCTGTTTGTGGTAGTAACTCCCATGCAACAATGCCCACAATTTCATTTGAAACAATTTTACACTACTGACTTTTTGGACAACTGCACAATTTTGAGCAAAATTTGAGTGTAAATCTAATGTGCATTTTACATGTTAAGTCGCTCATCTGAAAAGAACTGAAATGCAAGTTCAAAAAGACATTGGACATAAATGGCAGATTATATTTGTACTATTTCAATAAGGAATACTGACAATAAGACCAATGTCACAAAAAACATATGTCTTCGAAAACTATGTATGATCACTCATGTGAAGTCTCATTAAATCCCACCAGCAGCTTGACTTGTGAAAGCATGACAAGATATTTCTATTCATAGCTCTGACTGCCATTTAATGTAGTGTTGCAGAACGTGCCAGCGATATGCACAACTACAGATGGTAATGATCACCTTTGTGAATTTTGATTGAAATCTTGCCAGTAGCTTGACCTGTGAAAGCCGGACAACTTGTTTTCTTTCTTTAGATTTGGCGGCCAGTTTGTGCATGAGGCAGAACATCCCATTGGTGTGCACAACTAGGGTTGGTACTGATCACTCCTGTAAAGTTTGGTTGAAATCCCACCAGTAGTTTGACCTGTGAAGGCCAGACAAGATTTTTCTTTTTTCATATCTGGCGGCAATTTTGTGCAGCGAAGCTTAACGTGTCGGTGGTGTGCACAACTAGTCTAGGGACTGGTAACCCCTGTAAAGTTCGGTTGAAATCCCACCAATTGTTTGACCTGTGAAAGCCTGACAAGATTTTTCTATTTTTAGCTCTTGCGGCCATTTTGTGCAGCAAAGTGGAACGTGCTGGTGGTGTACACAACTACAGATGGTATAGATCACTCCTGTAAAGTTTGGTTGAAATTCCTTCAGTCGTTTAACCTGTGTAGGCCGGACAAGATTTTTCTACTTTTAGCTCTAGCAGCGACTTTGTGCAGCGAAGAGTAACGTGTCGGTGGTGGCACAACTAGTCTAAGGACTGGTCACTCCTATAAAGTTTGGTTGAAATCCCACCAGTAGTTTGACCTATGAAAGCCAGACAAGCTAAATGTGAACGGACGGACGTCCTCAAAGTTTCATATTTAAGTGGCTACTCTTTTGTTTTCTCTGATTGTTCTTTAAGCTACAAAAGAGAACTAGAAATGTGTCCAGGACACGGATGCCCCACACTCTACTGTTTTGTCAATCTTATGACTTTAGGTCAAATATTTTTTGGGCTACATGTGCCACAAGTTGAAAACTTAAAACCTTTTACTAAGTCAAGAGCAAGTACTTTACAAATGCTGAATAAATCCAGAAGCAAACCCCTAGGTGCAAAAGAACATTGCTGACCAACTTTCTTGTAAACTTTCAGACCTACAGTTCAAATATGTTTTTAGTTAAGTTTAGACTAACAAAACTGAAAAGAATAATCCACATGCAAAACCCCAGGTGCATAGCTACACAGTGGTCTTGATCATTTTTCCTGTAAAGTTGGTTGATTCTAACTCAAGCACTCGAGGAACAAACATAACACAACATAATTCAATTGATTTAAAAGTACACCAATATTCACTTGCTGTTCTGTCTTACTTACCCTTGGCTTGATTGATAAAGAAATGTAGAAATATTTACTTACCCTTCTTGCGAGTTTGATACTTTTCCACTTCTGTCTGTATTGCAGTGTTACCATCGTTACTTTTCTCTGTTATGAAATAGATATACAT